TTGTGAAAAATTTGAACGAAACCGATTGGGGTCGCAAAAACGGGTCCCGAGAGGAGGTTCCGATCCTAGACCTCTCTTGGTGATCTCTGTTGATATGGTTCAAACATTTTTCATGGAAAGTACTTATTACTTGCAAAATCTGGGCGCTGTAGCTCAAACGGTTCCGGAGATATGTGCATGCAAAGATGGCAAAAAAGGGATGAATTTGGGAAATTTTTGATGAAATTGGCGTGAAATGACATCCAAACTCCCTACGGGCAGCTTAAACCAGTGCTAAACCTTATCTAGGGGTGCAAACAACTACTCTTAAAAGCGCCTTTGAAATCTGACTGTATCACCGGAAAACCTTCCCTTGTAAGGTGAACTGCACCCTGGTGACGAACCTACGGCCCTCCGTTTATGACACTTGCTTATTGCGTGGGGTCGCTCGCCGATCGTCCGCAGGGGATCATAGAGGCCGGGCTCCTCCAAGGTGTCCCCGTCCGTCAGAGATCCTTCCCCGCCCTGGGCGACGCGCACTGCGAATGCCCTGCTTGGTAGGACGAAAATTTCGTCCGTTCTGCTCTATCTCGCACCGTTTGGGTGCTATGGGGCGTTTCTTGACGAAGAGAAGGTGAAAATGACCAAATTGTCGATTAAATCGTTAAAAAGACTTTATTTCGAAAAATTGTATATACACTCCCATAACCCTGTCTCGGGTGGCAGCGCCGCAGGCCAAGGTAGATGTATGCCAGGCGCGTCGCAGCGTAACAGTGTTTCGTGAGATAGCGCGAAGCCTGTTACGCGAGACGTCGTCTGGCGTACATATAGCTAGTATCCTAACAATGGGTTGGTGAAAAGTAATCTATTTCCGACACAACTACATTTGTCTAAGAATGGTGAGACAAAGTAAGCATTTGGGTAGGTAATTACGTGCTACACTCCCAAAGAGTAAACTTCGCCTGTTTGTTGGTAAAATTACCCCTCTTGGGTGAAAAAACTGTTTTTCACACCTACGAGGGTAAAATTACGAATAGAAGTCTCGGAGCATTCCAGAGGAAAGACACTAAGTGCCAGCGTGTCTCAAGCCAGGTAG